AACTCCTCCTGCTCCTAATTAATCCCTGGTACCTGTTGGTTGTGCTCCTGTGTTTCCAGCCAGTCCAACTGTTTGCAGAACGGCTTATAATGTGTTAATTAAACATTTTGATCAACGCCTGGGTTGATCTGCTGCTATTTTTGTGTACACACGCAGCTTAATTGTAATATACCGTGGCAGAAATATAGAGCTGTGAAAGAGAAATGAAAATCCACATTTAGGAGCTAAATGTTGATAACCTTATCACTTTTTAAGCAGCGGGGATCGTTGCTGCCTTTAATTTTGGGTTCTGCTCACCCTATCATGCTCGGACTCAGTTCGAATTCAGCTCAGAAATGAATAAACTGAGCAATTTTCAGAGGGTAGATTAAGAAGAATAGGAATTTTTAGAGTAATGACCAGCAGATGCAAAAATCTCTGTTTTATCACCTCTTTGTCAATGCATTGGACTTTTGGGGGCTTGTTCCTCTATTTCCATGCAAATGTCAGTCTAACAGATGACATTCCAGGCTGCAAGTGAATAAATAGATGGGGGGTAATTTTTCAGCCTTTAGTGTGTGTCTGGATCCAATATTATCTCTATTCCCTCCCTTATTAAAGAGCTCACGCAGAGTTTATGGCCGTGTAAGTTGAACATTTCCAGTAATTTTTCCTTTTTAAAAGACCTGGATTAATTTATTTTTAAATCTTATTTACAACTCCCTATTTCTGCCGACTGGCTAATCCAGTTTTCTGCATCCACTCCCGGTAGGAAGCCCTTTTCCCTTGCTTTTCCTCAATAATTTTCACTGAAATTAATACATTGCATTTTCTGGTCCTTTTAAAGGAGCACTTGCTGCAAAAACTGATTTGGATCCCGAAAATCACTCCACGTCTTGGAGGTTTTTTTGCCACAGCCTTTGATTTCGTTCCAGTAATCCATTGTTGCTTTTTCCTCAGAGGTTGATTTGGTTTTAGCCTCAATCAGATGTGATTTTTTTTCTTTTCCCCACCTTATGTGGAATGATCAAACCTCTTCTCTCTGGGAAGCAATGCTGATTTTTTTTTTTTTTGGGAACAGGTGGATCTGTATCCAGTCAGGACACTGGTCCTGTACCGGAGTGTTGCTGCTGATTAATTGGATCAGAGGAAAAGCTCCGACTCAGACATAAATATCATTTTACCATCCAATCTTTTCAGCTGATTTATGGCTGAAAACGTAGAGGTTTAATTCAAATAGTGCCAGATGTGCTTATTATATTTCTGTGTTATTAATTCATCTTATGAATTCTTCCCTGGGATTTTATTTTGATGTGTTTAATGTGAAAAATGGTCCTCTGACAGTTTGGAATTTGCCACCTCAAAGGCTTATGCAAGGGAAAGATGCTGATTACAAGTTCTCAATCTCTGTTGGTTTTATTTTTATTTGTAGTATTTTATGCTCCTGTGAAGTGTCCTCTCAGACAAATAAGTTCTTTATTTTCAGTGTCTTTGGTAATTATTGTTTTTAATCACCTGATGAGGAATAATTCCTGGAAAGGAATCCAACATTCCTCTGCTAAAGGCTTTCCCCATAAACTGGGAGAATAAATTGGATGGGCTACCATTGTTCAGTGTCATTCCCAGATCCCCAGTGCAGCTGGAAAACCATTCCAGTGTAACAGGAACAGGCAGCAATTTCTCATTCCTGGGAGAAGTGGATTTTGGTGAATGTGGGCCCTGATTCCTGATTTTCTGGTCTTACACGGGACCTGCATGAAAACCTTTTTTAGCACTTCCAGGAAAACATTGGCTTGTGTTTGCAAGCCCTGTATCCCTGTGTTTGAGAGCCTGGACAGATCTGGGATATGGGGCTGGTTTTCCCATGGAGATCCCTCTCAGACAGTCAGTTAGTGTGGTTTGGTTTCCATTTGCTCCTTTCTCCATGTGAATTCCAGCCATTTCATGCAGGGCTTTATCCCTGCTGAGCAATCCTCCTCATCCCAACTAACCCCAACCTCATTCCCCTGGGGAACCCTCTCCTCTGCTTCTCTCCACTTGGGAATTTCTCTTCTATTCTCAACCTTGCCAACCCTTCTTTTCTCTGGAACTCATTCCAAACAACGTTTGCTTTTGGTTTCTGACCCCCTTTGGAAGAATTCCCGGGAGTCTTGGGCAGCCACCTCCTCAGACAACTGGGAATTGTGTGTTCCTTTTGTTCATTACACTTCTCCTTAACCTTTTTTTTGAGCTGATCAGGTGTTGGGAAAGGTTGGATAAATGTCCCCAGGAAAAGGATGACAAGGCTGGAGTTCAAGAGGGAGGATGGGTTTGTGCTCAGCTTTTGAGATCGTGTATGGAGGTACCTAATTAGTGTTTATTCCCTGAGTCCTTGGGGTATTGTTTAGATTTTGCTTTTAGACTGGAATTTTCCTCTTGAGGGCCAAAGGGCTGTTGGGTTTGTCTTGATCAAATGCAAAGATAAAAGAATTGGGTACAAAACACCCACAAAAAATTGATACCATCACAATTAATTTGTGTTTTCATCGAGATGTTTTAAGGCAGAAAAGTCCTGTAGGTAAATTGTACCCACCCAGTGTCACTAGTGATGAACAGAAGGAACTGAATGTGATCAGTTGGGGCACATTTTAGACATATTCTGCACGAAATTCCATAATCACCCAAATTTGGGAAGGGAGCATTGCCCCTCAAAGCACTGCAGGCCGTGAACTGCTGGGATCCTGGGATAATACAGTTTTCCAGTGCTACCAAGAGCCACGTGCTCTGCTCAGCAACATTCCCAGTCCTTGGCTCCAACAGAAACTTGGACTCTTTTCATAAACTTCATGTTTCTTAAATTTTTTTCCTCAAGTGTTCTCAATTTTTCACCTTTCTCAGTCAGAAAGGTTTGTGATTCATCCCGAGTAGCAGGAACAATTTAACGAATAAAATCTAAAGCTGAATTAAAGGGTTTGTTCAAAGATATTAATTAGTAAATTAGTAAATTTAAAAGCTGAATCCCCTTGAAATGGAATATTTTGGAAGCCAACCATGGCACTCATGGCATGTCTGGAGCTGCCCATCACACACAGCAGTTTGTGTGGGGGTTTTTACGCAAGAAGCACCAAATTTAAAGTTATGAGACATTGGTTTTAGTGTAATTTTATTAAAAGTACAAAAATTATCAAAGCAGTAGTGATGGGATTCAGTAGATGAACTGCAAAGAAATACGAGGTAGGAAGTATGTGTCCCATCTTCCTAAAAAAACTGGTGTTAAAAATGGAGTTTATCTAATCAAATTCTGGCTTGAGATATCAAGAGCAGCTGTTAATCCATGGATATCTGTGGTTTGGGGTGTCCATGAGTTTCTAAGGGGTGATTCCAGCCTGTCACCAGCCACTTTTGGGGTTGGGTAAAATCAATCACTGGAGGTGCTTGAAACACCTCAGGTCGTTTTCTGAAGTGCTTGGTAAGGAATTCTAGGGAATTGGTGGGTACCTGCACCAGCTGCCACCAGAAATACTCACTGCAGTTATTTTTATTGCTCTGTTTGAGTTCTTTACCTCCTCTGTGTTGTGCTGGAGACCACGAGGGAAACACGAGGGTTCTGCTCGACATCACCCTGCTAAGGTTTCCTCCACCAATCATTTTTAGGTTTCCTGAGGGCCTTTCTGAATTTTGTCTCTTAATGGGTCTCCTAAATCAATAGCAACCTCCAGGAGCTGGTTATTATCACACGTTGCTGGTTGTCCTCGCGGTTGCCACCGGCTCGTTGGAGGGTCTGATTGTGCTTTTTGGCCGGAATCGTCTTTGTCCTCTTTTCTCCGAGTGTTGGCCTTATCTACCAGTTGGAGGAGTGCTTTCTGGGGCCAACTGAGTCACCTTTATTTAAGAATCCTTCATCTATTTGTTGTTTAGGGCATATTGATTGCTAATAAAGGCCTGTGTGCGGAGTTCCCCTGCGGGTGATCCCGTGTCCGGGAAGCAATTAGCTCTTGGTGTGAGGGCAAAGGGGAAGGAGCCTCCAAAGCAGCTGCCTGGGCAGTTCCCAGTGGGATATTGCTGAGGGAAAGAAGGATTTTAGTCTGTCCTACCTCATACCAACAAGATACATTCATACCTCTGTGGGAGGAGTAGGAAAAGGAATGGGAAGAGGGGGATCAGTTGTGTCGGGATTGGTGGAGCTCCGTGTTTTATCCCATCTAATCCTGCTCTCTGGCTGTGGGAAGCCATTCCCCCCTTGTCCTGTTGCTCCATGCCTTGTAAATAGTCTCTCTCCATCTTTCCTGTAGCTCCTTCATCCTGGAAGGCCGTAATTTTATCACCCCAGAGCTTCTTTTCTCTTCTCCAGGCTGGACAATCCCAACTCTCCGAGCTTTTCTTGCCTGGGTTAATACTTGTATGGGAAATGGGGTGGAGCTGGGAGGGTGCAGACTTCTACTGGTTGTCAGAAAAAACAATGTTCCAGTGGCAGTGTCTGCCTGGAAGAGTTTTCTAAGCTGAACAAGAGCACCAAAAATTTCCCATCCCTTTGTTTTTAGTGCAGAGCAGAAACCTCCCGAACTTTTCCCCGACACTTCCAGAAATAATCAGCTTCTGAACTGCATGACAAATGGGGTTTGTGTGTGTAAATTTAACTGTGGCAACGTTGGAGTGGCTTCAAATTTAGAGGGGTGGCAAGCACATTGGACACAGTTGCAGCATCACTGGGGAGCATTTGCATAGTGGGGACACGGCCAGCACCGCGCTCCTCGGCCCAGAGGATGCCAGGGAATACCTGCAAGGAGAGGCAAACATCCAAGGGTGGAAAGCTCACCGTGTTCATCATGTCAGGGGCAGATTGGGAGTGTGTCTGGGAGCCCTGGGTGCTGGTGCTTTTTGTCCCCAGCAGTGGGGAGGGCCGAGAGGAGCTGGGGGAGGTTCCAGCCCGGCCGTGGTGGTGGAGCTGAGGTTGGTCCTGGTGCCGCAGCACGGCAGGGACGATGTTTCTTGGCGGTCTCCAATGTCCAAACATTCTAAGGTTTGTAAATCCTCTCTTTCAGACTCCTGCTGAACAGGCCAAGGCCAGACTACAGCTGGTTCTGGAGGCAGCTGGTGAGTAAAACGATATTCTTCAAGAAGGCATTTAATTTTTGTAATAGCAGGTAACAGTTTGATCCACTTTTTGGCAAATGTTGGGTCCTGTTCTCTGTAAATCAAATTCCAGGTTAAGGTGAAAGTGGTTTGCATCATCACTGGCACTTAGTAATCCCTTTAAGGAAATAAATAAGTGATATTTTACACTTGGACCACACACATTTGTCCCGTGGCTGCTGCTGCTACTGAGACTTTATTTTGTTCTCTCCAAATTTTAGGGTTTTAATTTTTTTTAAGATTCCTTTCTTTATTTGTTAGGACTGATCTGAATTAGTGCATTTATTCATTTATTTATTTATTTACTTATTTATTTGAAGTGATGGCAAGCTTTCCAAAAGGCTTTTCCAAAGCTTCCCAAATGGCTCAGATCAAGAGGCAGATCTACAAATTAATTCTCTACAGAGAGAAACATTCCTATTTTATCATTTCTGGTTTGATTTTCTTATTAAACTGCGTCAGTTTGTTACCCAAGAAGGAAAGCTTTCGGTATTTCATATATACTGTAATAAATCCATGTTTCTCTTTACTTTCCTATTTGCATTTTTAACTTACAAGCAGCAACTTCCTAGAAAAATCTGTTTGGTTTTTTTTTTTTAAATTTTCCCCTTTTGAAAACCTTGAGTTTTTAGGAATAATCTTCTCACATTGCTGGTGTCTCATTTTCCAAAAGAAATCCAGCTTTTTGCATTATTTGCCTTCCAGTTCATTCTTTGTTCTCCAGAACTTTTAGTAAGTCCTTGAAACGTGTAATTGTAAAATAGATGTGACAGCCCTGACCTCCAAAGCACGATGTGTGTGTTCTGCTCCCATCGCTCACACCTCAGCTTTTCATTCCAATATTTGAATTTTAGTGGAGAAAAGGTAACTCTGGGCTGTACATCATCATCATCACCCGGGCTCCGGAATTTCCAAAAACCTATCAAAGGTCTGTGGTATCGTTAAATTTAAATATTCACCAGTGAGGGCTGAATCTTGGATTGGAGCTGCAAGTTGTTCCTAAAGAAGCAAAGAGATTTAATGTCTTTTTTTGCCACCCAAAATTGGGCATCTCAGGCCTTTGTGAAATAAACCCTAGTCCTGGATCCAGTCAATTGTATTTAATTTTTATTAGACTGGAGTGACAAGAATGTTTTTTCAATATCTTTTCATGTTTACTCATTGCAAAATCAACGGGTTTTTCACCTTTCGGTGTTAAAAATGAAGAATAAATTTGTATTAGACCGTTGCTCAGCAGCTTTTCCAGGAGCTCAGGGGCAGCAGGTTGGTGGTTCTTGCTGTTGTGGAGATGCTGTTTGATTTAATTGGATATCAGATAAAATTTCACCCTGTACGTGGTAATGATGAACGAAGCTGTGAACGAGGAATGAAGCTGGTTGTGTGTGTAGGGCTGGAGACAGAGCCCCTCCCAAAGCTGGGGATGAGCTTGTGGAATATCTGGCTGTCTGAGAGATGTTTGGGATGGACCCCTCGTGGTTTATTCCCATGGACATCATGGAATCATGGAATGGTTTGGGGTAGAAGGGACCTTAAAGCCCATCCAGTGCCACCCCCTGCCATGGGCAGGGACACCTTCCACTGTCCCAGGTTGCTCCAAGCCTGGTCCAGCCTGGCCTTGGACACTTCCAGGGCTGGGGCAGCCACAGCTTCTCTGGGCAATTTCTTGAATTTCTTGTCTTTATTTTCCTCTCTGAATTTCCCTGTTGCAGATATTTGGGATCTTGGGAAAAATCTGTCTTTAGAATTTAACTCATGTATTATTTCAGGAAATAACAGCTCAGGAGGTATCAAGCAGTTGAACAGGCACTTTTTATTTAGATTTATTTCTTTCTGGTGCGTTTTGGAGATGGGAATTGTGACTTCTGGTCTCTCATTGTGGGAGAGCTGGTGAAATAAAAAATATTCACCTGTGTGTGTGAGGGAGAGGAGGGGAAGGTGGTCATTCTTCCATCCAGGCGCCGTAGTGCTGGCAAGAAGTTTTGTCTCCAAGTCCTGTGTTCATGCTGACTTTGCTGAACGTTGTTTCCCTTTGTAAGGTGTAAATAAAGTCAGTACCTTTGTTCCCATTAAGGGCAGTGCTGGGAGGTGCTGAAACCCTCCACTTCAATCCTCGAGATTTTTGATTTACCGAAGCAGGAGCTGTCGGCCTGGGCTCTAAATTCGTGTTTCTGCGACTTCGTTGAGTTGGGTTTCTCAGTGCTGAGGTGGCAGGAAGCCTCTTGCAGCCCCCGACCATCTCCCCCCCACAAGTCGCCGTGCCCGAGCAGATGTTAAGCAGGCAGTAGTTGAATGTTAATTTGGAGAGGGTGGGATGTTTTAAGCCCGTCTGAAGTACATTGCATGTGGGCCTTGCGGGCTCAGCCACAATGCTTTGTCCCTTGGGAGAATTTCCCAGCTAAAGCTCTTTCTCTTTGTGGCTCTATATGGACTCTCTCAAGTCAGTAGAAAGCAGATCATCCCTGGGCTAAAGCTCTCCAGCCTTTGTTCGGGGGCTCTGTAGGGCTGTAATTAGGCCTCCTGGCAGGCCGTGCCGGCCAGTTAATGGTCATATGGAGTTTCTCTGGGGCAGACTGGCTTTGTGTAAATCCTTGCTCGGGAGCCGTTTATGGGTCACTTCCTACCAGGCCTGGCTTTGTGGCGCTGCCCCACGGGCTGCCGGGGAGCAGCTTCCCTTGACCAGCCCGGCGCAATCCCCCCCTCCTAATCCCCAGTGTAAACAGAGGATTTAGCTCAGCTTCTGTCACTTACAGTTGCCAAACCACTTGGGTGTCTGTGATTCCTTTCCCAGCCTCGGCTGCCCAGAAGGACGGGGAGGGTTTTGTGTTGAGCGTCGCCGGTTTTGGGGGAGAAGCTGGCGCTGCCTCCCACCCTAAACTGGGCACGGCGGCAAACCCCACGGCCTTAAAGCTTCTCCATTCTCACCCCAATCCATCCTGTGGCACCGGTGCCTCTCCCAGAGATTCAGACGTGGGGGAGTATTCCGAAAATGTCGATAAATTCCTCTGAAACGGCGCGGGGACGTTTCAAACCGTCAATATTCCTGCCTCTTCCAAAGGGCTCCCGAAGCTTTTCCATGGGGCTGAGCAGAAATGTCTTGCTCTCCATGCAAAGACGCTGACAAAAGGCAATTGATCTGGATTTTCAAAGGTCTAGAGTTGAAATAAGTGACTGATGTATTTTTGGGATCTGCATTTCAATCTCGGGCTGAAAGAGCACTCAAGAATGGGGGGGGGGGTTTTGTGCAAAGGATTCGTCCCGGAGTTTATTTAAAGGAAACTTCGGCACTGAGGCACTAATGGGACACGAACAATCGACACTAAAAATGGGTGAATACAAATCACGAGCATTTAACATTTATCTGTTTGGCTGCAATTCTGGATATTGGATATTTAGCTCATTATCTCTGAATGAGAGACCATCAGTCCCCTACCTTTGTTGCACTTTACGTGTTCCTTAGAGAGAAAAATCAGGGAATACAACAACTAATTTGGCCTTAACTGTTGCAAACACAAATGTCTTATAATTCTTACGGCTTCTTTTTTTGTTGCTGAGGAGAAAAATCCCAATTTGCACTCGGTGCCTGATAAATATAGTCAAATATTCTCTGCTTTGGGGCATCAAAATGGCTCATAACAGATGTGGCTGAAAGGACCACATACGTAGACTGTATGATTTTAGTCTGGTGGAACTAATAGGATCACTTGGTACTTTATAGATTCTTGCTTTTCTTTTGCTTTAATAAAAACTGTTTAGTTAAATAGGTTGGCCCCTGTTTTGCTCTTTTCCAGCCGTGCAGAGCAGGAAGGAGGGGGGGGCAGGTGGCAACAAGTATGAAAAATTTCCTTTTATTGGGGCTTCTTTTCAGCTGCCAAGTTTATGGACTGGGTATGGGTTTCTCGTTTTGATGATGCTTTCCTTTCAGCTTTGCTGTTTGTGCTCTTCCCACTGAAAACTCCGTGGCTTCCATTTGAATTTGGAGTTCTGCAGTGAATTTTAGGAGGGGGGGTAACTTGTGTGGCTGTAGAGACACAAAGGACGAAATAACACTTAAAAATATTTCACTTGCTTCATGGGAATTTAAAGCTGCTTTTAAAATAATGTTTGTCCCAGAAATTGGGAGAATTTGAACTTAGAACAGGCTTAAAATTTGCTGAATATTGACAAAGAGGTTCGTTTAGTTGCTGTGTGGGTGTGCTCAGTTTGGTTGAATACAAAATTCTTATTTCTATCCATTTCAAGGAGTTGTTTTGAGTGGAGTTGATTGACACTTGGGATAATTGAATTCTACTTCTATTTATATATAAAATCTCAGATTGGAGAGGAAAAAAAAAAATCTCTTCTTGAGTTACCTTTTCTCTCTTTGGCAAACGTGGATGTGCTGAAAAGGATTTTGAAGGTGTTTTGTGCAGCACTTCTTGAACCCCCAGCTCAGGAGAGGAAGTTTTTTTCCATAGTGAGTCTTCACCAATCTGGGGAGGTTGTTACTTATTCCCTGTCTCAAAGGGAAATGAACTGTAATTGCACTCATGAAATGCCTCCAAATGATGCAGGTGGGCTGTGCACTTGGATTTCTCCTTGCTGCCAGGAGAGACACTGAATGTTCCATCTTCCTGGAGCTGTGGAGTTCCTCTCCAGCTCTCCTGGAGCCCCTTCAGGCCCTGCCAGGGGCTCTCAGGTGTCCCTGGATCCTTCTCTTCTCCAGGGGAACCCCCCCAGCTCTCCCAGCCTGGCTTCATAGGAGAGGTTTATCCTGTTCCCCAAAAACTGGCTAATTTAGGACATCAGTCTAATTATGGAGTTAATGAACCCAGTTTCTGGGTCAGCTGCTGATTCCTACTCAGCAGATTTCGGTGTCAGGAGCAGTTTCATTGACATCGACAGAAGGAGAACTTGAAACCAACTGAGCTGTGTAAGAATTAAACTGTTCATGGAAAAAAAAAAAAAAAACAAGGAAATTTATG